CGGCGTGGACGCGAAGGGCCCCTGCATCGCAAGTACCCCGAGTGTGGTCGAGTACTCTGCTAAATCAGTAAGAGTAGTTGCACCACTATAATCGGCACTAGCCGAACTCATCTCTTCCGTCCCACTAGCCCAGCACAGCGGGAAGCTCCCTCCGATATGCCCCTTTTCCGCGATGCCGAGTTTGTAAAAGGTCGTGTTGTATCAAATGCAAATATGTCTGGGTCTGGAACGAAGCGGACAAGTTTGTCATGCACATTTTCCATGATTTGTGATGTCTGTGATGCATGCCTTAGCATCACAGTTTTTTTGAGCGCTTACCGATGCGCATCCCGCATGACAAATGCCCTGCTCTCCGCGTAGCCAAATTTGACTCCCCTTGCTGCTCAGGCAATACAGATTTTTTCAGTATCCAAATGCAGCATCAGAAGTTTGGCTCTTTCAGACCCAGATATATTTGCTATGCATATGTTCAAATCCGTTTGGTTCTCAAAAGCGAATTCCTCCAAGGCGAGCTGGGCTGCGGTTTATCAAATGTAAAAATGTCTGGGTCTGGAAACTTGTGATGCTGTGTGGCATTTATGAGGAGGCCACAATTGCTGGCGCAGCATGACAAGTTTCTGAGCTTCTAGGTGTTGCCTATTCTGCATGACAAACTACGTTTCTGCATGACAGAAAAGTGGGGCTCTTTGGTAATGTGCATGACAGATTTAAGAGTCATGCCAGACAAGCATGACAAACTTGCATCCTCCAGACCCAGACATTTTTACATTTGATACGGTTAGAGGAACAGAAATTCCTGTTTGGTTGGACAGAAATAAATCGTCGTCCTCACTCGACGCCAAGGCCGCCACCGGTCGCAGCGGGTAGGCGTTGATATTTGCGCCCGGCCAGATGATGAGGTGCGAAGCATTCACGTCGGCCGCCCCGCAGGTTTGTCCGTCTTGCAGGATGATAATTTTGTTCAAAGACGAGAGCTTTTCCCCGGTCACCGTAAATTGGCAGTTTTCCGTGAGCGTGCAGGTGACATTCACCATGCTCGGCCCTCCGAGGTACTCTTCTACTACAGAGGGGAAAAAAACATCGTCGATCTTCTGCGTGAACACCGGCAACTTCGTCTCCGTCGTTCTTTGATCCACTACACTGTTTGATGCCGTCGAGGATACGAGGAAAGAAGAAGTTGTTGTTCCAGCAGCGAGTTTCACGATCCCAAAAAAGGCGAAAAAGGTCGCGTTGGAGCTTGTGCTGTTCAACACCGTCTGGATGCTGGTGTGGTTCGCGATTTGTATCGACACGCTTTCTATCAAATGCAAATATGTCTGGGTCTGGAAAGTTGTGATGCATGTCAGTGAATAGAAAGCGCACTGTAATGCACTGCCAAGCATGGCAGACTTGTTTTCCGTGGCTCCGTATTGCGTATTCCGCATGACAAACAGCGTTTTTGCATGACAGACTAGAGGGCCTCTTGCTGGCTACGCAATACAGAGCTCAGTGTAATGCCAGAATAGCATGACAGATCTCGCATTCTTCCAGACCCAGACATATTTGCAATCCATACTTTCGTCAAATAAATTTTTCACCCCGGTTGCTACGCCGATCTGCAGTCTGCTTGCCGTGCAATTCTCGAGATTCGTTGCCCCTCTCTCGTAGTCAGTAGCGCAGGCTTCCGTGATCGCGTACAGGTTGAATTCCAAGGCGGAAACTTCCGGCTCTACCGCTGGGTTGATGATTTTAAGACTCACAACATCAGAAGTAGACGACACTGCATAATCATCATTATTATCGTCGAACGCGAAGTCAACTGTTCCGGCGATTTCTCCGTAACCTGTGTCGGTGTCGAGAAAAGTGAAATTCTTCACCTCACCCAGAAGTTTTCGATCCGCTAGGTCAACTCCTGTGTCGACAATCTGCTCCGTTGCATCAGTTTGGTTCGTCGTTAGTACCCAGACGCGAAACATGTTCGAAGTTGTACTTCTAGAGGCTCCCGAAGCAGGAGGAGGAGTTCCCGGTACAACGACTGTGTTTTCTGGAATGGCGAAAGAAAACAGTTCTAAATCCGTGGTTCCATTCACCGACTGGGTCACCATTCCCGTGCTCTCATTGTTCGAGATGTTCTTCACGAAGTACGGATCACCCACGTCGCTGGCAGTACTGTTCGCCGGGAGGAAATAGAAACTGTAGGTCAATGAACTGCCCGCCGTCGTGGTGCCTGTCGTTTCCAACACTGCAGTTTGAAAGGTGAAATTCCCCCCTACTTCGCCGTTATCGGGGTCAAAGTCGGTGAAACTGATCGTGGTGGGATCGACCTGGCCAGGGTCCAAGGGTGATGTTGATGTTGTACTACTGGATTGCTGCAACTCTCTTCTATTTTTGCCGGCCGCCGCGGCTGTGTCATCATCTGTTCCCCCACCGCTGGGAACATGCCGTCCATCGACGCTTTCCGCTCTCCTCGTTGCTCCTGCGTAGAGACCTTCTCCGCCAGCTGCGTTCTTTTTTCCATCTGTAGTTCTTGCAGAAGAAGTAGTTCCTTTGCTACTTTTACCATCACCTCTGGCATTTGCTGCTCTACCTCTTTTCGCTGATGACGAACCTGCATTGATGTTATTCTTGCCTTCTGCTCTCGAATTTTTCTCCGTAGTTTTCCCAGCGAGAGTGCCGGTAGAGGATGCACTAGAAGTTTCCGCACTCTTCGCGACCCTCCGCTTCTCGGCAGCAGATAGTGATGTTTCCGCTGTAGTTCTTGCACCATCACCAGCGGTGGTAGTACTGTCCTCTTGTGAAGAAGTTGTACTTCTAGTGATTTTTCCACCTCCCGTCCGCCCCTTTCTAGCAACATCTTCAGTCGCCGGGATGATCGCGGCGGGCTGCTGCATGTTTTCCTCTCGACCATTCTTTTCCTCCTGCTGCTCATCGATGGTGTTCTTGTTGTCCAACCCCCCTGTTGCTGCAGCCCGGCTGTCTGAAGATGTGGGTTTATCTTTATTTTTTGTAGTTCTAGTTTCTGGCTTTCCTGCGTCAACACCTCCCGTATTACTGCGCGGCCGGGAGGCGGAGGGCAGTCTCTCTTCGAGGTCCATCTCGATGCCATTCTTTCGGCGAGTATGATCTGCATTTGGTGGCCCACTTGTTGTAGCTTCTCGACCTCGTCGTCGCTCCTCTTCCGGCTTTTTCGGAGAATCGTTCTTGTAGAACTCTTCGTCAACGCCGTTCTTTCCTCGGGGGCTCGCTTTGTTTTTACTTTTGGAAGAAACAGATTTCGTTGCTTGTTCGCCGTTCTTCTTGCTAGAAGATGAAGGTTTTTGGGTTGATGCTGCTCTTGTGCCTTCTTGTCCTTCAATAGCTTCCGCTTCAACCGAATCCGCTGCAGGTTTGTTGTTCCTTCCGGTCGTGCCTCCCGCCGGCGCACCTTTAACTTTTTCTTCCGCGAAAACAAAATCGTCGCCCTGCTTCGCGCTAGCTTTTTCCTTGCTTGACGCTTTAATATTGTCGGTCCTTTGCTTGTTTGTAGTTCTTGTGGTTGTCGTGGTTCTTTCCTGTAGCTGCTCTTCTTGCTGCAGATCTTGTCCTGCTCCACTTGCGCCTTTTTGGCCTGTGGAAGTAGTAGATTTAGATGGTGAGGACAATGTCTCGGTTTTTCCTTTGTTCCGACTGCTCCGGCCTGAGCGTCCTGACGAGCTGCCTGCTCCGGGTCCTGTGCTCCCTGCTCCGTCATCCTTTTTGGTATTGAGCGAGAACTGGTCGTCATCGCGGCCCTTCTTCCTCTTCCCGCTCTTGCCCCCTGCGACGAAGAAGAGCTGCTCCGGGTTCGTGTTGTGTAAGGTAATGTAGTTGACATGTCCCCACAGTAGGACGGTTCGGAGGAACATTCTCTGTTCTCTGTCCTGAGTAAAAACGTCCCCACAGCACCAGAGTTGTCATGCAAATGCGCAAAGCCAGGAACGTTTGTAATGCGCAGCCCCATGAGAGAAATTTCTAGTCGCGTTTTGGAATTTGTAAAAATGCTGTAAACAGGATGTGAGAATGACTTTCTCATGCAGCTTATCTTGCCAATCAGCACTACACTGCAAAGGGAAAGAACTTGTCATGCACAGCTCCCAAAACTTGGAGGTTTGTGTTGCTAGATTCCCATCTTGACTATGGGGTGGGGACGTTTTTGCTTAGGATATTCTCTTCCATCCGCATCGCAGACTTAGCCCTTTTCCTGCGCCCTCACCAGTAGCAGCACCGGTAGCGGCTGCAAGCTCGTTCCATATTTCCGAACAAACTGTATCCTGTGCAAAAGTATCGTACTCGTAGTAATCGCAGTCATGCATTACAAATCTTCATCCCAAGGTAAAACAGCATGACAAATGCCATTCGTCATGCTGAGCTAATTTGTCATGCGATTTATACTAGTAAGATACTTTTGCAGTTCATAAACTCCTGGCGAAGTAGATTGGCGGGGCAACAAAGCACGAGCAGCAACTTCTACGAAAGCAACGCTGAGCCGCAGGGAGGTGCTGGTGGTGAATGACGCGAAACGACGAGACAGCAACCAACAGCAACGACCGTCCAATAACGACAAGATAGATGTTGTCGTGCTTGAACCGCGACCGCTGTTCTATTTTAATTTTTCGTCTTCTGTTTTTCGAAAAAAAGCACCGGAGACCACGATGATGTGATCTCGCAAAAAAAGAGGAACGCAATTATGATTGCGAACGTATTTATATGCTTCTCACCGTCCAGGGTCGTGTTGATCTTCATTTTTTCTAGTGCAGCCATCAATCTGGAGAATAACTCGTTTCTCTCTTGTGTGTGGGCTCCCTCTTTGTTCGTCCCTCATGTGATTGTGGTCGTTCTTGATCATCCCAAAAGACAAATAACACGGAATAAAATCCGTCTACGTGAAAGCAGTCATCCGTATGAAAGCGTGAAGATACCGGCACGTCGACCCGTCTGGGAGCGAGCGACCAAGTCCCCAGCGACGCCGAGTCACAGAAGGCACAAGGACGAGAAGTTTCTTCTTTTTTATATTGGATTATTCCCTTGGCGAATGTTTATGTTCCGAATCCAATCTGTTGAAGTCTTGCACGAAGCCGGTGTCTTTACTCGTCCTAGTAATTGCTGCGAATGAGCATCTACTTGCTACAATACAAATCATACTACTGCATTAGGGACTCGAAGATGACAGATTTCTTTTGGTGATGAAAAAGTTTGTTAGAAGTTTTAATTTTGTGTGAAAAAAGGGACAGACTGGTTTCTTTTCGATGCGGAAGCTAGTATACTGGATAAAAGAAAAAGATCGCGATCTCGTAGGAAGAGGAGTACTTAAGAAGGATCGAAGTATCGTAATAGAAAAACGGGGAAGCAGCGGAGCTGCAGTCAACATCGTGAAGATGCTGTACATTCTTTACGTATAGTACATAGGACAGGGATTATGTGTGTAGTAGCCAGGATATGGCAGAGGAGGCGACGAAACAAAGTTCGGACTAGAAGTTTTGATGAAAGTGAGCTCGACGTGGCACCTCGTACTACGTACAAAAATGATTTGTTACGCGATGCTGTACTGTTGGAAAAACAGATAACAGGAGGACGTGACAAACTTCGAGACGCACTCTTCGGCTTCAAACTCGCACACACGAGCGCGTGAATACTTTTCGCACGATCGGGTAGCTGGTGTTCTCTGCTTGCTGTCAAGGCCTGGTGGATTGCTGTCGTTATACTCTGGTTGTTTGTTCGTCATGCCGCAGTGGTCCAAAAACTTCGCCTCACCCTCGGCTCCGACGCGGTATCGGTAATTCTAATTCTCCTCGTATAATATAGCAGTCATAATCGACAACTTCGTGTTCGTTGTAGATTGCTTCAAAAGAAGGTGTGCTGGTGGGGCGCCTGCCTCCTCCTTCTCCTCATTGCGTCTCCGCCTGAGCCGGCACGCACGCGCCGTCACGCCGCGCACGCGCCGTCGTCCCAGGTGCATTTGCCGTCCGTTTTTTTTTCGCATTCATGGTCATCATCCATGAAGTTCGAAGAAATCGCGGCGGCGCAAGCGTGGCACTGTTCCCCACCTTCCTCGTCCTTCACCACCCACTCATTTAGCCCATTGAGTGTGTACCAATGGCCAAAGAAACAGTTCAGACTCTCTGCGTAAGCGGCGCACCTGTCCTCGTCCGCCGGAATCTCGTCGCAAGACGTTGGAACAATCTCCCCTCTCCTGAGTAAAAACGTCCCCACTAATGCGAATCTGCATGCTGAAAATGTTTTTTATGAGGAGCCCCATGAGATGCTTTTTCTAGTCGTGTTCCGTAATTTGTGATGCTCCCATCAGAATAATATTGTAGATCTGTGATGCAGCTGAACTCGCCAAACAGGTCTAGTACACTACGAGGCCTCACTTGTCATCATGAGCAACAGCCAAACCTTGTTAAATTTGTGTTGCAAAATCCCCATGTTGACTCTGGGGTGGAGACGTTTTTTCTCAGCAAATCCCCGCAGCTGCCGCCATCTTTGATCTCGCAGTACAAATCTGCCTCGTGTCCTTTGCACCAGGCTTATGAATTGCAAAAATGTCTGGGTCTGGAAGATTGCAACTTGTCATGGTAAATCTGAAGCATGCAAAAATCTGTGTTGCATGAGTCCCGAAAGCTGTTCACTTTTGACCAATTTGGGCCGGAGTTTCTGTCACTTTTGACCAATAGGCATGGCAGAGACCTCGCAGAGTCTGTCGTGCTAAGTCCCGCATTCCATACCTCATGGGTCATGGAAAATCTGCATGACAAGTCTACACTCTTCCAGACCCAGACATTTTTACAATTCATAAGGCTTGGTCACTCCCAATTTCCTCGCAAGCCGTCGGCTTCGCCACGCAGGCACTGTCCCCCGGCGTCTTGACTTCGCAGTTCAGTTCGCCTTCGGATCATGTGTCATGATGCGCGGTTGTACTTCTGTAACGGTCTTTCTGATTGTTCTAACGCCCTTTATAGTAAGTAAGCCCGACTACACGACATTCTTTTTTATCTTGGAACAAGGAAATAAATTTTGTTTCTTTACGGTTGTAACTACACTCTCTAAATGTAGTTGCGCACCTGCTGCGTCGCTAGCCACGGAAGAACTCCGATCATAGCGCCGGTACTAGTGAACAGCAGGTTCGTGTTGCGCGCCTGCTTGTTCTTGCTGCGGTTCGTCCCCGCGGCGTCGGCCTTGGTTCCGGGTTTTGCTTTTGCACCGTCGTCTTTCGTGTTGTTCATGACAGCGAACATAACTGCTGACTTTCAAAAATAAATGGCTTGTCAAGAAAAAACAAAAAGTAGTATCTCTGCCTCCCTCACTTGTTGAAAACTTCTGGTTTTTACTGGCAATAAAGTACTACCTAGTGAATAGGGAGTCTTTCGAAATAATTTTAAGTAGTTGCTTTTGACTTGGAAGCAAGCAGGGTCTTCGTCTTTTTCTTAATTCATCGGAGCAAGATGGGGTTTCATAGAGGTGAATGCAAAATAACACGAAGTGTTTCGTCTTCCTGTGGAAACGAGAACGACACGGTCGTGAAGATGAGGAGGTGATGCTAATCAATGGTAGAAGCAGTGCCGCAAATAAAATACACACGATGCAGCTCTTTAATTCAACAATCGTCGAGGAACGAGACGCAAAAATCAATTTGCAAGGTGGCGCACCGAATTTCATCAAGGAATTCGAATAACGCTGCACGAAGGAAGCGGAACGAAGAAATGGATACATAGTTGTAGACGACCACGACTCACAGCAATTGAAACACATGAAGTACTCCAACCGAAAGCAAAACTAGGACGAAAAACCGAAACCAGCAACCATGCTTGTCAGTCAACAACATTTTTAACTCAGGAAGCTAAAGCGCAAGTTTTGTTGAGAAGTGGTACGATCGGAGGGACGACACGAAAACGAGAGCTGACGAAGACTTAAAGAATTATGTCAAAAAACTCCATGTACCGGAGCGGTTTATCACACCGGCGCTACAACTACTACGGAACTTTGATGTCCTCTGTGTTATTGATTCGTCCATTCTGTTTGACTTATCGTACGGGCGTCTGCGCGAAGCGACTGCAGCACGCCCAGGAGCGCTGAAACATCGATGCCGTGACGAAATTAAAGAACAGCACGAGCATCAAAAAACGAAGCTACGGCTTCGTTTCAATAACAAGCTGTAGCTCTCGTTCCTGCTGAAGAGGAAGAGCCCATGCTATAAACTTGCAGGATAGCGGAAAAAGTGTAGCATGAGTGCTTGTGCCTCCTAGTACAATACGCAACATCCTCCAACATCTCTGGTTGCGCATGCAAAAACTTCGTCGAGTCAGAATCTACTAGATAAAAAGGATGCACGATGATAAATTCAAAAATTTCCAATCTCTGCGTTAGGGTGGATTGCGAAGGAGTCATATCATTTTTAACCGTATTTACAGCTTCTCGTTTTAATCCCAAACCAAATTGCACTAGATACAAAGCATGACTCTCATTTTTGAAATTTTACTGTTGAAAATGTTAGTACGGAAAGAAAACCCATAGAAAGATCTTCTCCACATTCGACTTCTTGGTTTATTTGTCTTTTACAATTACAACACACGTCAAATGATGCAACACGGGATCATTTCAGTGCTACGGCCCATGCCCGTCGAACTCCTTCCAGGTCGGAGATTATTTGTGAACCTGGTCTGGTGGCGAAGAAGGACGAGCCAGCTTCTCCAGTTCACCCAGGTACGTTTCTGTCGGCTCCAAGCTTTTGTGAAAACCAATCCCGAAGAAAAAAGCTAGCATGTCATGTAATCACAATAAATCTGTGATGCATAGCCCAAACACGATTGATATGCTGCAGGCCCTGCTCCAATTTTCCTTGTTATGTTTGCGTTTATTTCTGCACATTATGAATAGATGCCCTGCTAGCTTTTTTCTGTGCGATAAAGCCCTCATCTTTGTCATTCGGATCCTCATCCCGTCCTGCTTTCATCAATGCAGCGGAGGTTTTGTTCTGTCCTCTCAGCAGATCCGTTTTATCCGGTCTCATGGGCACCGCGAGCCGAATATCCTGCTCGGAATCTTCCTCTCGCGCGGCGCTTCTCGAGGGATCCTCCCGCTGCCGCGCGGGGATATCGTCGTCCGCCCCAAAAACACCTCGTTCGCTGGGCGCAGCTGGTGGTGGTGCAGAGCTTTCTTTTCTTGATGATAGAGCATCCAGGTCCTCCTTTGCTTCCCCCGTAGTGGTTCCCATCATTCTGGTCCTGCTCCGTTCCAAGCTCCTCTGTCTGTAGAACTCTCGCTTCTCCGCTTTTTTTTTGGCGAAATCCATCTGGTTCAGCACCCTTTTTGCCTGCCGCTTCAGCAAGAAGTAGTGCTTTGCCATGGCGGTGTTGGTCAGGTAGTGCTCGTACAAGACAGCGAACGCCAGTCCGATCGCCACCGCATAGAGTATCCACAGGAAATAATTTCCCGTACAACAGGTACAAAATGCCGTCTCTGCATGACAAAACTTAGCCTCGATCCTAGTTCTTTAGCACGGCAAGTGGCACGACACCCCACATTGGCGAAATTTATGATGCATTTTGTACAAGAACGTGTACGGGATGGGGAAATTAAATTTGTATTGCATATAGACCAAGCTGGTGCACCAGTTCGCCTGTGTTTCGTACCCGAATTCTGACACATGTTCAAACCGAAACGGCGAAATCTTATATGCGAGAGACAGCTCGTTCTCCGTAACGAGGTGGATCTTTTCCTTCTTTGCCGGAGTGGGAACACCAGCAGCAGACGCTGCTGCTGTACTCACTCTCTGCTCCACTTCGCCAACGCGACTCGCCACGAGGAAGTCGTAATTCACGTGGCCGAACCAGTGAAAAATGAGAAAGCATTATCGCCAGAAAAAACCGTCTACTCCGTCTCAACTTTTTGATGCGAAGAGTTGTTGTGCTGAAGTCACTTTCTTATCATGCTCGCCAGGCAAGTAGAAATGCGTTTTATTTGTTCCTATGTGTTTTGACGCATCCCAGGTCATTTTCTGTGTCATCATGCTGCCCGACTTTGTGTTGCTGAGTCGGCAACAGTTTTGAGACCGCTGTTTTACTAAGTATTTTCTCGCGATAAGCAGAAGGTGGTTAAAATGAGAGCGTAGAACGCGACCGTCTTTTTCCATTCCAAAAGCAGGATCATGAAATTCGTGTAGCTGTAGCCGGTAACCAGCCCGACCGTCAAGGGCAGCGGGAACGTGTAGAAACCAATCCCGATATCGATTGCAAATATGTCTGCGTCTGAAAAGGTGGAACTTGTAATGCGCGTCTTGCATTCCCGCAAAATCTGTGTTGCATGAACAGCAAGTGGGCAGCTGCTTTCCTTGTCATGCACTAACGCAATTTGTAATGCGTCTTGGGTATCAGAAAGCGTTCCGAAAGCTTGTCATGCTGGGCTGCCATTGCAAGCGTTGTCATCGTGCGCAATCCAGCATCACAGATTCCCAGACCAAGACATATTTGCATTTGATAACCGAAGGTTTCAAACAAAAAATCATAGAGCGGAAAAAATTGCACGAAACCCGCGATGGAAATTATCAAATGTAAAAATGTCTGGGTCTGGAAGAATGCAACTTGTGATGCTGCATTTGGATTCCCAAAAAATTTGTATTGCATCAGTACCAAAGGAAAGGCAATTTTTGCCACGCTGAGAAGGCATTTGTCATGCGGAATACGCATCAAGAAGCCCTCAAAAAATCTGTAGTGCTAGGGGGTGCATCACAGACATCATGGCTCATGCAAAACGTGCATGACAAGTGTCAGAATCTTCCAGACCCAGACATTTTTACAGTTGATAGAAATGTATGCATTGCAAATATAATGTCTTGCGCTCCTGTTGAAAATTCTATTTGCATCTAATGAAGCTTCGATCGCAGAGTTGTTGTAGCCGCTTTTTATACGGGATGACAGCGTACGAGGTTGGCAAGCAGGCTTACATACTTTTGCAGCTTCACTAGAAACTGGCTTCCAGCAAGAGAAAAAAGCATGCATGCAGTTGTCTTTTGAATTTCGCATCAAGAATCTGAAGCCAGACGTAATCAAAATTTTTATATTTGCGGTGCATAAAATGTTTGCCACCGCGATGCCTAGGTACAAAAGCAGTAGCCGCGTGCCGTCGGAAAGGAGGAATTTCGCTGGATATCCTGAGCAAAAGTACCGCCACAGCACTTCTCTAACTGTAAGGAACTTGTGATTGCAATCAGATGCATGACTGGCCTGGTCGGGCAGAACCAGTAGAAGGACAAACTTCATTTGTCCTTCTGGAAATCAAAATTTATTGCGATGCAAGTTCTCCTATGTGTGTGTAGTGCGATACTGCATTGTACTTTTGCAATGCATACAACATCCACGAAATCGATCCGGACCCAGGGCTCAGATTGTTCCTGCTTCTGTTTCTGATTTTTCCCCGTCGTGCCTTCCTCGTCAGTCGCTTTATTCCTTTTCTCGCCGCCGCTTCCATCTCTATTTTGCAGCGCCAAATCCTGATCCTCTTCTGCTGCCCCCGCACCAGCAGCTATCCTGAGGAAAAACGTTCCCACCCCAGAGTTGTAAAAATGCAAATCTGCATGCTCAGAATGTTTCTCATGCGGAACTCCATGAGAAGCATTTTCTAGTCGTGTTCTGCAATTTGTCATGCTCGAATGCGGATGATATACTAGATCTCTTATGCTGCTGAGCTAGCTCAAACAGCACTACGCTACGAGTCCAAAATTGTCATGCAAAACAGCCAAAACTTGTGGATTTGTCTAGCCGGTTTTCCATCTTGACTATGGGGTGGAGACGCTTTTACATAGGATACCAGCAGCGTCTTCTTCATCCAGGTCCTTCCTCTTGGTTTCGAGCGCCAACCCCTCTGCGAATTTGTAGCCCTCCATCCGACTAAAGGAAAACCCGGCCAATATTACAATGAAAAATGCCCCCTCCCCATATTGAAAAAGTACGTTTCCGAAAATTTGCATTGCTGATTTGAGGTCACAAATCACATTTGTCTTGCAAGAGACCAAGGGCAGAAGCTTCCGCCCCATTATGGGAGCGATTTGTCATGCTGTTGGGCCTAAAGGGGAGCCGTTTGCCATGCTGAACAACTAGACCCGTACGCCCCGACCTAGCCTGGGGATCTGGCCGCAATGCCTTCCAGCAATACAGAGCTGCTTTGCGTTCACAGGTCCAGCATCAGAAATTCCGTTTTGATATGGGGAAGGGGGATTTTTCCTTTCGATAGCCAAATCCAGCTCGCGCCGCCGGCTCACCGTCCTTAGTTGGCTCATCGTCGGCAACCGTGTGCGGAGAGGAGAGTTTGAGTTGTTTTGTATATGGAAGCGTCAGGATTGAAATCGTCAAAGTTGAAATAGCTTGCGATGCGTAAAATGCAACCCACAAAGCGCCTGCCTTGCAGAGTAGGCAAGGGAGGCAGATCGCAAGCCTCTTGAAAGGTCGAAATAGAGCTGCTAAAGTAGCATCACAAAAGGCGTCTTCTTTACCCAAACAGCATTACAGACTGGATTTATGCACCACTAAAATTTGTCATGCGCCTCTTGGGGACTGGGCTCCAACTGGCATCCATTTTATGCATGGCAAATCATTTCAACTTTGTCGATTTCAATCCAGACACTTGCATATTGTAAGGCGTTTCTGTATTCACCCTCCCCGCTTCCTGGGATAAAATTTCTACTGCCGCTTCTTGACCTGGTGCTCTTGCCTCTCTGCGAGCCTGGAGGCGTTTTTTTGTAGGACTGTTTGCTCTTCTTCGAACTTGGTTTAGTATTACTTGCTGTCACGACACTGCGGCTCGTCCCGGAGCCAGAAGACGGTCGACTGCTTCGCTCTAAGGGTGGGGTGCCGCTTCTGCTGTCGTGTTCTTGTTGTGAATTGTAATTCCTTCGCGCACCACTTGTCCCTGCGTTGGCAGATGTATTTCGTTTCGTCGCGATTCTTTTGTATTCCTCCTGCCTCGCTTCCTCTTCCGCCTCCTCCGCCAAAAAGGCCTCCCGGGTGCGCTGTCGGGTTCTCACAATTTCCTTGCCACTTGTGGGGGGCGCGCTCTGGTGCCGGCCTTCGCTGTAGTAGAGGCCGGCCGCGGCGTTGGAAGTTAATGTAGCGTCCGTATTTCTGGTCATCGCAGTTCTCTTCTGATCCGCCCTATGCGCAGCTCCACCCCGTCCCCGGCCTCGCGTCGTCGTCGCTACATTTGTCGCACTGCGACTGGCGTTCAGATTGGCAATGCGCATCGCGAGTCCCATCCCGCCCGTTTTGTTTGCCTGCTCCTTGATGGCCCGGTTCGCGATCGCCCGGCGCTGCTGCTCCACCCGCAAGTCGTCGGTTACCACGGAGTTATCAAATGCAAATGTGTCTGGGTCTGGAAGGATCCAAACATTTGTCATGCACATTTTGCATGACTCCCGACGTCTGTGATGCATGCCCTAGCATCACAGATTTTGCGAGGGCTTCCTCATGCCTATACCGCATGAGAAATGCCCTCTCGCCGTGGCAAAAACTGGTCATGCAATACAGATTTTTGAAGTATGCAAATGCAGCATCACAAGTTACATACTTCCAGACCCAGACATATTTCCAATACATAGGAGTACTGCCGACCCGATTTCATGTCCACCTTCGTCACGTTCTGCCCCGATTTCGCGCGGGAAAAGCGTTCCAGGTAGATCCCCGTGCCCGGGACCCGCGCGTGCGTCCCGACGGTGTTCAGTTGGTGCGAGGTTGCGCCGAACGCGTTGTTATGGATTGCAAATATGTCTGGGTCTGGGAGAGTCACTCATGCTGCTTTGGCATGACACGGAAGGTCTGGCATGGAAGCTCTAGCATCACAGGTTTCGAGAAGCTTCCGCAATGCCGAATCCGCATGACAGACGCCCCACTTTGGTGACAAAAAGTGGGCAGCTTTTGCTGCCTATGCATGAGAGATTTTTATGTGTTGTGAAATTCGCATCACAAGTTCTTGCATTCTTCCAGACCCAGACATATTTGCATTTGATAGTTGTTGCGCATCGCGGTCTTTTTCACCTCCGCGAAGAGCTGGGCCTGGTTATCCTGAGTAAAAACGTACCCACACCAGAGTCAGGATGGGGATTTTGCAACACAAACCTAGGAGCTTTGTAAGTCACGCATGACAAGTTGCACTCTGCAGCGTAGTGCAGGTTAGCAAGTGCAGCCGCATCACAAATCCAGCTGCTCATCCTGTTCACAGCATCACAAATTCCAAAACACGATTGGAAGTGGCTCTCATGGGGATGCGCATTACAAGTCTCCCTGTCTTTGCAAATCTGCATTACAACTCTGGTGTGGGTACGTTTTTACTAAGGATATTGGTCCTGCGCTATGGCTTGCTCAGATGTTACAATCTCAAACGTTGCAATAGAATGTGAAATTTGTGTTGCATGAACAGCATGAGTACCAAACAGAGACTCGGGCTTTTCGCAATACAAATTTCGGCAGATAATTCCCATGCGGTTTGGAGCTCCGAAACTTGTCATGCGCGCTCCTGTGGGAGTAGGCCAGATGTTGCGCATTTTGCAACACAAATTCTAGATTCTATTCGTAACGTTTGAGATTGTAACACATGAGCGGGTTATATGCGCCGCCTGGGTTTTCTGCCTTTGCTGCTTCTTGTCATCGTCAGAATCGTCGGAAAGAGGGACGTATGGATTGCAAAAATGTCTGGGTCTGGAAACTTGTAATTACTACAAGGGTGAACACGCTCCACTCAGTATGGGGAAAAAAAACAAAAATCCAGCAGCTCCGTCGTTCTTCTTTATTTCTTAGCGCAGTAGTACTACTCTTAGGGCCTTGAGCGTCGACCTAAACCTTAGAAAGTCTAAGACCTACTGTAAAGCTAAAAGTGAATGATAGACGCACTGCAATGCGCCTTTATGCATCAGAAATTTTTTGGCTGCCATGTCTTACGTATTCCGCATGGGAAGCTGCGTTTTTGCATGACAGGTAGGAGGGCCTTTTCGTGCCAATGCAACACAGATTCTCGAGTCATGCCAGACAAGCATGACAAACTTGCATCCTTCCAGACCCAGACATTTTTAAGTACATTTGATAGGACGACTTCTTCTTGCGTCATAGTGCGAGTACTTCTCCCACCACCTTCACCGGCGCTCGTTGTCGTAGTCAACACTTTCCGCTTCGTCAAGAAGCCCCGGATATCAACTGCAAAAATATCTGGGTCTGGAAACTTGTGATGCAAGTCAGGGAAAAATGCGCATACTGTAACGCACTGCCAAGCATGACAAGTTTTTCCGTGGTTCAGAGTTGCGTACTCCGCATGCGAAACTGCGTTTTTGCATGACAGGGAAGAGAAGCCCTTTGCGGCCACGCAATACAGAGCTCAGAGTCATGCCGGACTAGCATAACAAATCCCGGAATCTTCCAGACCCAGACATTTTTGCATTTGATACCGGAATTTTTTCCTGGATTTCCGCAGCATGTCCAGCGACATTGAGCTGAAAACGTCCCCAAACCAGCCTTTGAACGTCAGGGGACTCGCGAACGCGATGGCCGGACCGGTATCCTGTGCAAAAGTATCGTATTCGTATGAATGCAAGTCTTGCATTACAAATCTTTTTCTTGAGGCAGATCCGCATGACAAATTGTATTTCTCATGCTGAGAAAATTTGTAATGCATTTACACGAGTACGATACTTTATTTTGCAGTGCATAACCGGGGAGGTAAAGGAAAAACCCCACCATCACGAGGAAGATATCAAGTGCAGCAAACATGTCAGTCTACTGAGTCTGTAAAGCTGTAATGCTGAACTGCGGATGAGTAAAAAACTTCCAAATGCCGCCAAGCATGGCAAGTTTTCATCAGAACGCTTCATTCCCACATGCATTCCGCATCAGAAATTGCGATGCTGCATGACAAAACAGAGCTGCGACTTCTTTTGATGTTAGTCATGCAATACAGGTTTCACAGATATGCAAGACCAGCATTACAAGTTCCAACTTTCCAGACCCACATCACATATTTGCATTTGATAGAAGAGAATCTGGACCAAATCGTTGTAAATGAAAAACTCCGACTTTTTATCCTGAGTAAAAACGTCCCCACGCCAGAGTTGTCATGCAGATTTGCAATGACAGGAACATTTGTAATGCGCATCGCCAGGAGAGGCATTTTTAGTCGTGTTTTGGAATTTGTAATGCTGTAAACAGGATGAGCAGATGGATATCTGATGCAGCTGGCCTTGCGAACCTGCACTACGCTACGGACTGCAACTTGTGATGCGTGACCCCCAAAAGTTCTCGGTTTGTGTTGCAAAATCCCCATCTTGACTCTGGTGTGGGGAAATTTTTACGTAGGATACTTTTCCCGTCGCTCGTACACCCCCTTCGTCTCCGTATCACATGAAAAAAGAGTTTCAGTTACAACACGTTTGTTGTCAATTCAGCAACACAAATTTCTCGGCATGAGAGAGAAAGCTTGCATTGCAGAAAATCCACGGGAAAACACGTATGAAACAAGGCTCCTATGCATCGCCTGCATGACAGAGCTTGTCTGTCATGCCGGACTTGCAACGTCGCAATGTGTAACTGTAACACTTTTTTCTCGTGATACTCTGACACTCGGACATAGTACCCGTCTTCAGTGATTTCCAGGTTTTGGGCCTCGGGACTCGTGGAGCCATAATCAGACACGATCGCGTCCGACGGCCCGCGCGTCGTTTCCGCCCGGGAAGCGTCGAGGTCCCCCCGAAAGAGGAAATACGGGTTGAGGTAATCGTTGTCGTACAAGTTGTATCAAGTGCAAATATGTCTGGGTCTGCAAACTTGTGATGCTAAAATGTGCATGATGGAAAGGCTTCCAAATGCAGCCCAGCATGACAACTTTCCGCAGCGCTTTCTCATAGGCAGTCCGCATGAGAAATTGCGTTCTTACATGATAAAAATGGCTGCGACTTTTGCCGGTTATGCAATACAGATTTCCCTGAAATGTAAAGCTAGCATCACAAGTTCCAACTAACTTTCCAGACCCAAACATATTTGCATTTGATAAGTTGTCTTTTCCCAGAATCAAGTACTTCGCAAACAGCTCCACCGCGATGACGGCGAACAGGAGGTATCCTGTGCAAAAGTGTCGTACTCGTGCTAATTGCTTTTATGCATTACAAATCTCTTTCTTATCGTAAATCCGCATTGCAAATTATTTCTCACGCGGAGAAAATTTGTAATGCATTTATACGAGTACGATACTTTTGCAATGCATATGAGGTTTGCGATCGCAAACACCAACCTGCCCATGTTGAAGTAACTGCGGTACTTCGGGATGTTCGCCGGGCTGCCCTTGTAGTTATCAAATGTAAAAATGTCTGGGTCTGGAAGATTTCCAGGTTTGTCATGCACATTTTGCATGACTTCTGATGTCTGTGTTGCATGCCCTAGCATCACACATTTTGTGAGGGCTTCCTGATGCCTTTACCGCATGACAAATGCTCTTTCCGTGTAGCAAAACTTGGACTCTCTTTGCTGCTCATGCAATACAGATATTTTTAGAATCCAAAATCAGCATGACAAGTTGCATTCTTCCAGACCCAGACATTTTTACATTTGATAGTAGTTCCGCAAAAACAACTCGAACCAAAGGTACGTGCTCATCGCGCACTTGATATGAGGGTGCACAACTCCCCCTCCCCCATCATCTGTATGGCATGAGCAGGAATACAAACAGCAGCACATTTGGAGCCTGGGCATGACAAGTTCATGCGCAAGGTGTAGTACCGTTCGGGCTTCCAGATGAATTTGTCATGCAAGCATTGCCAAAACAAAGGCAGCAGCTGGATTTGGGGTTTGGCATGACAAATGAGGGGGAGGGGGGGGTTGTGCACTCTCATACTTGGTGGACAATATCGAGAACAACGTGGTGAACATGGTCAGACATAGAGGGCAAACGAGTGATCTTAGGGGAAAGTCGCAGGCTGTCATGCGGATTTGCTATTTCCTCCTGATTTGTCATGCGAAGAGCACACCAAAAGCCCCCCCCCCATTCCATGCGGTCTGGAGTGATTAGATTTTTGGTGGGCGTTTTGCATCACAAAAAGCGCTCTCTAGGCTAATCCGCAATACAGGCTGCCTTTTTTCTTCGGACGAGCAGCGGCCGGAGAGATCACTCAGTTTCCGTTCATATCAGAAACTTAATCCGGTTCTGCGTGACCTCCATCAGAGGCGCGTAGATTCTCGTCTGCTTCGGGGGTCCGGCATTTGACGGGTGGTCATAGTCCACGCCGGGCAGGTGGTCGGAAAGGGAACGCCGGCGCGCACGGTAGTTGCTTGTGCCGCTCGACGCAGCCTCATCCCCGTCGGAGGTGCCATCCGGCAACAATCTCTGGTACAGCGGCCACACCAGTTTGTATTCCTGCGTTAAGAACCCGCAAATGACCGCCAGACACAGCCCGCCAGACACTAAAACCGCGTGGAGAAAGGCGATTTTCAGAAACGTTTTGATCATTTGTTGGTACTGTTTCGTGAGAATTTGCGCCGTCAGAATTTCTATCAAATGTAAAAGTGTCTGGGTCTGGAAGATTCTGAGACTTGTCATGCATGTTTTGCATTGGCCATGATGTCTGTGATGCATGCCCTAGCATCACATCGGAGGTCTACGGGCTGTTCGTCCCTTTGCCGTTCAGAGGCCTACTAAACTGATAAATGCTAAGCTACTACGTAACGTAAACTTCTACTGAAAAATTAAGTAAATCGGAAAACTTAGTACTGCTACTTATACTTAAGCGCTTGTAAATATGTATGGCAATAAATTCTGAAGGCCTTTCGTAAGAGCGGTAGCGGTAGAAGCAAAGGGGCTGGCGCGCGAAAAGGCAGGCACAACGCACAACATGGGACCGGGCCCATGCTGCGCGAAGGCGTACACTCGCAGCGAGCGTCTACGTAGGTCGAACATGATGCACAGCCCTGGAGGTCCTTATGCATGCAGGGACGAAGCACAGGGGAGGGGCCTCAAGCAAGGCCCCTGCTGCGCTAATCCGGACCGATTCAACAGCAAAAAGCTGTTGCGTCCCCCAGCGGCATACAGGTGCTCCGGCACACGAGAGCTGCGTCCACCCAAACCAGCAACCAGGGCGGCGCCTCCACCTGGTTTGGGAGCTCTCGTATGCAAGCATCATAAACTAAGAAACCTACCACAAACAACACCCCGAGCGCAAGCGGCGGCAAAGGCATGCAACTACCGCTACAAAACTGACGAAGTCCCACGTAGTTCGACGTAGTTCTAGTTCAACGATACGGGCACACGACAGACACACCGAAAATTGCGACTCTTTCTACTTCACGTACTTAGAGTTCTGTAGGAAAACGACTACACAGATTTTTTGAGGGCTTCGCGATGCCTATTCCGCATGACAAATGCCCTCTCCGCGTAGCAAAAATTGCGCTCCCTTTGCATGCTGCTCATGCAATACATATTTTTTTGGAATCCAAATTCAGCATCACAGGTTGCATTCTTCCAGACCCAGACATTTTTACATGTGATAATCTCGTCCTCTTTCAGCTGCACCTTGTCGTCGCTGTTGTTGTTGTTTTTAGCCGAATATTTCTTGTGTTTCTTCTTCTTCGATGAGTTATCGGTTTGAGGATCCTCTCCTTCGTCTGAGGAATTCGAATTCAATTCATCTTCTGGGTCTAGTTCGGATTCAGATTCTGATTCGTCACTGCTCTCCGTTCCTGCCTCTGAAGATGCTTTATTTTCATCCTCCCCTCCACCACTGCTCGCGATACTGCTTGTGGTACTGTTGTTCGCAGAACTCCTTTTTTCCACTTTCCGTTTTATCCGCAGCTTTTTCCGCCGTAAAAAGGCCTCGATCCCGTACGTGTTGTTGTTCCTCACCCCCAACCCTTTCGGATCTATCCTGTGTAAAAACGTCCCAACCCCAGAGTTGTCATGCAGGTTTTTTTTTTTTTTTTTTGATTGGGCCCCATTCGCATATAGTTTCAGTTTCAGTGGAGCGCCCCACCGGTTAAACACTTCTGATGGTGAACGAAAACCATATAAATTCATCATTTTTTTTAAGCTAGGAGCCGGTGTGCGTTACTTAACATGTGAATTCTGATCTCACGGACACCGACCTGCGACTAAACAGGACCGGGCCGACACAATAATTCACACAGTTAAGCAGATGGCGCGGGTATATTGGTGCTTGTTTTTTGTTTGTACCATTTCCACTCTTGTCCTCTTCTCCAGCACCAAGGTCTCGCTCCACTTCCGTCAATTCCCCCCCTTTCACACATACTCTGCTGGCAAGGCAGAAAAAAAAGACGCAGCCCCTGTCGGAATAATTAATCAGAAAAAGCCCACACAGAAAATTCCTGCACCTACCTAGGGGCGACTAGGCAGATGAGGTGTGCCGAAGCGAGGGGAGTCTATGTGATTGAGTCAAACGTGTTCAATACTGCGCGGGAATGGCATGAGGGATCTGGTGCGGGGTCCGCTAAAAAAATATCGCAAAGGCGGCAATGGAGTAACGCTATCACTAATTTTTGACGACAATCTAATAAGTGGGGAGTTGTCATGCAGGTTTGCAATGACTGGAACACTTGTAATGCGTTTCCCCATGCCAGGCATTTCCAATCGTGTTTTGGCATTTGTAATGCCAAAAATAGGATGAGCAGCTGGATTTGTGATGCGGATGTCCTTGCTAACATGCACTACACAGCGCACTGCAACTTGTCATGCGTGGCTCCCAAAGCCTCTGCATTTGTGTTGCTAAGTTCCCAACTTGACTATGGGGTGGGGACGTTTTTACATAATGATAAGATCTTCCAGCAGTTTATGCAGCTCCTTTTTCACCGAAAACCCGAACAGACCCTTCCCGTTTGCGCGGGATTCCTGGGCGGTGAATTCGATAATCCGTCTCTTCCTAACCGGCTCTAGTTCCGCGTCGAGACATCTGATATCCTTCAGCTCATCCTCGTACATCCTGGTCGCTTATGGATGTGTCAGGATCGAAATCGACAAAGTTGGAATGATTTGCAGTGCATAAAATGGATGCCAGTTGTAACCCAGTTTCCAAGTGGCGCATGACAAATTTGGGTAGGGCCGAAATCCACTTTGTAGTGCTGTTTGGGTAAGGAAGACGCCTTTTGTCATGCTACTTCAGCAGCTCCATTTCTACCCAGGAACAGGCTTACAATCTGCCTCCCTTGCCTACTCTGCAAGACTGGCATTTTGTGGGTTGCATTTTACGCATGACAAACTATTTCAACTTTATCGATTTCAATTCTGACACATCCATATCACTTTCCGCACGCGTTTTATCGGCCGCACGAAGGCCGCGAAGGTGAGAAAAGAATTTCGCTTCCGATACAAGCTGTTGGGGACAAACCGCATGGTCAGTCGGACGGATTTATCGAAGCAGAGACCTCCAGAATACAACACCTCAGACAGTGTTCCCATCCCCGTTTTCCTGACTAAATTTTTCGAAGACGTTTTCTGCGAGGTGCCGACTCGGCGAACAATCTTCGCCAGGAGCGTTTCGTAATCCACGAACATCTTCTGTAACTCCGGCTGCATGTATAACCCGCTCAGGTGTTACAATCTCAAACGTTACAATAGAATCTGGCATTTCTCTGGCATCATGAGCATGACAGAGTCGCAGACCGTTCCACTTTCTGCAATACAAATTTCGCCAGATTGTAGCGCGGTTTGGGACTCCGGAACTTGTCACGCGCAGTCCTCTGAGAGCTGGCTAGATCATGCATTTCTTGCATCACAGATTTCCAGACTCTACTGTAACGTTTGAAATTGTAACGTTTGAGCAGGTCATAGCATGGCTTTCGCGTTCTTTTCCACGATCCGCTCGATCCGCCAATTGTTCTGCATATCAAATGCAGAAATGTGCTCTGGGTCTGGAAGGATCCGAACTTGTGATGCGTGTTTCGGATCCTACAAAGATCTGTGATGCATAAACGTGCAAAAGGTGTCCACTTCTGGCCATTCTGGGAGGGCTTTTCTCATGCAGAATACGCATCACCAAGGAGGTGCAGAATCTGTGATGCTAGGCCCTGCATTCCAGACGTGGGGCAGTTTCAGTTTGGAAAAACTGCATGACAAATCTCGGAGTCTCCCAGACCCAGACTACATATTTGCATTTGATACTGCAACTCCTGCAGCAAAAACGCGTCGGATTTCTGCTGCATCTTCGCGATGGCCGCCGCTTTCGGGTTGGTCGTGTTCGACCACGCTCGCGCGTAGAATCGGAACCGGCGCAGAAACATCCCTTTGATTAGTCGAAACTTGTGGAGGAAGAACAATCTCGGTTTCCTATAATCCGCTCAGGTGTTACAATCTCAAACAAACGTCACAATTGAGTCTACTGGAACATGTCGTGCATAAAAATTAGCATGAAAGACGCGCAGAGCGTTCTACTTTCTGCAATACAAATTTCGCCAGATTGTAGCGCGGTTAGGGAGTCCGGAACTTGTCATGCGCGATCCTATGAGAGCTGGCTGGCTAATGCACTTCTTGCATTACAGATTTCCATATTCTATTGCAACGTTTGAGATTGTAACACCTGAGCGCGGTATATTTCTGGCTCCAGATCCACAGGGCGAAGACGACGCGGTACTCCTCCGTGAAAATGCTGTTGAGGATGATGATGAGAAACCCAAAGAGGAGCAACACGCGTATCCTGTGTAAGTAAAAACGTCCCCATAGCACCAGAGTTGTCATGCAAATGCGCAATGACAGGAAAATTTGGGATGCGCATCACCATGAGAGGCATTTCCAGTCGTGTTTTGGCATTTGTAATGCTGTAGTAAACAGGATGAGGAAATGGCTTTCTCATGCGGCCTTATTCCTTCTGAACCAGCACTACACGAATCCTGCAGATGGAAACTTGTCATGCAGAGCTCCCGAAACTTGGGGATTTGTGTTGCAGACTTCCCATCTTGACTATCGTGTGGAAACGTTCTTACATAGGATAACGCGGAGGATGAATCCATCCGCAATGAACGGGTTTAAGAGAACGAGAAAACATAAAGTCCCGTTGCAAATCCTCCGCACGCAAAATTCCAGAGTTTCCTGGTCTGTCTATGGAAGCGTCAGGATTGAAATCGGCAAAGTTGAAATAATTTCTCATGCATAAATTGCAAGGCATGAAGTGCCTCGCTTGCTGGGATGGCAAGTGAGGCCGACTGTCAGCCTGTTTGGGGTCTGCGGTAGAGCTGCTAAAGTAGCATGACAAAAGACGCCCTCTGTCCCCAAACAGCGTGACAAACTGGATTTAGACGGTGCCGAAGTTTGTCATGCACCGCTTAAAAATTGGGCTTCCAACTGGTATCGATTTTATGCATAACAAACTATTTCAAATTTGAGGTTTCAATCCTGACACTCCCATACTGTCCGGTGCTCTGGCAAAAAATCGTCCCGTTGCTTCACTAAAGCGCGTATGCAGTGCAAAAAGCTAGAGTAGCTTAATGGTGGTATATGAATTGCATGACAAATTTGCGCAGCATGAAAAATGAAATTTGCCATGCTGGTCTGGCTTGGGAAGTAGACATTTGTCATGCTGCTTGCCATTTTTAGCGAGAGTACGAGATTACAACTCTTTTGCACAGGATAGCACGGTAGATCGGCTGATCAAGAAAATCGTCATCGTCGGAGCTGTCCGAATCTTGCCCGCCTTCTCCATCCTCCCCACCGCCACTGTTCTTCTTCCCGCTCGCCCTGCCCGCCGCAGCTGCCGCGTCCGCGGCTGAATCGTTGTCGAACGTGTATGCATTGCAAAAGTATCGTACTAGTAGAAATCGCATGAGAAATGTCCTCAGCATGAGAAATGGAATTTCTGATGCTGATTTACCTTGGGAATCAGATTTGTAATGCAAGACTGCGATTACTACGAGTACGATAGTCTTGCACAACATAACGTGGTGTTTTTCACGAAATAAAACGGGTCGTAGTCAAACACGAAAATTTGGTTCATGTACTCGCAGAACTTTGCCAAGAAAACCCCAAAAAAGGGGATAAACCAGAGATACAGCGGGATGATCTTACTGCCCTGTGTAATGATCAAACGCCGGTAAATATGCAAGAAAAAAACTGTGTATGTAAGTGTAACTTTCTTGGAGGAACAGCATCACACGTTTGCTCTGCATGACAGAGAAAACCTGTAACGTGTAGCTAGTACGTGAAAACACGTACGAAAAGAGCCCCTCATGCACGTCCAGCATGACAAGTGTAACAGTTTTGCATTTCCTGCAACACAAAGTTACACTTACACAGTTTTTTTCTTGGATAGTAAAGCTGCTCGAAATCTACCAGGCGGAAGAAGGAAACGAAGCGGCGCTCGCGCTCGGGTTGGAAAGAACTTAGGGTGGTTTTACTATTTTTGCCACCACTAGAAACAACAAAACCCGGCACGTCTTCCACCCCGTCGCGCCAAAGTCTATAGAAGTGTCAGAATCGAAATTGACGAAATGGAAAAATTTGTGATGCAGAAAATAGATACCAACTGGAGCCTCAGTTTGTAAGTGGCGCATGACAAATTTCGGGAGCACCCATATCCAGTCTGTCATGCTGTTTGGTGAAAGAAGACTGCTCCTGTCATGCTACTCTGGCAGCACATTGCATACCCCTAAACACGCTTACAATCGGTCTCGTTTGCCTGCTCCCCAATACAGGCCCCCGGTGACCTGCATTTTATGCATCACAAATTTTTCGATTTTGTCGATTTCGACTCTGACGCATCCATAAAGTCTGAGACCGGAGTATGGGTCGGAGAACATTTTTTTCACAGGTATCCTAGGGAAAAACGTCCCCACCCCAGAGTTGTCATGCAAATTTGCATGCCAAAAAAGTTTCTCATGCGAAGCCCCATGAGGAGCTTTTTCTAGTCGTGTTTTGGGATTTGTGATGCTAGAAATGGCATGATATTCTAGATCTGTGATGCTTCTGAAGTAGCTAAACAGTATTATACTACGAGGACAAATCTGTCATGCGAAACAACCAAAGTTGGCCGATTTGTCTAGCAGATTTTCCATCTTGACTCTGGTGTGGGGACGTTCTTACACAGGATAACAGGCTCCTCCTGTTCTACTAGCATGCTGTTCTTCGTCGCTTTCAACCTCGAGTTTTTCCCATCTTCCTCCCTCATGTTTTCGTCGAACATCAAACTGCCCGCATCCAGCACATCAAAATTCGTCTCCTTCGTGTATCAAGAAGAAAAATCCGCCCTCCCCATAACAAAAACGGAAATCTGTGATGCAGATTTGCGGCAACAAACCAGCTTTGTCATGCTGGACGAGAAAAGATGCGGACTGTAGTGCTGGTTGGCGTGAGAACGCCTTGCGTCTTCAGCATGACAGGAGGCAGCTGGAAGTGAGAAGCAGCATGACAAATCGCCTGCAAACGAGTTCACGCACACAACTGCGGCTCTTGGCCTTCTAGCATTACAAGTCGATTTGTGTACTCAAATACAGCATCACAAGTTTCGTATTTCGATATGGGGAGGTGGGATTTTTTCTTTTGATATCGTGGGCATGAGGTTCAACGACTCGCCCAGCGGCACGAACCCATTGAGAAAAGCCTCGATTTTCAGCTCCGACGTTCTCGCGAGCCGGGACGGGAGCGTGTGTGGTTTGAAGGTCTCCCTCTCCGCGTCTTCTGGCGGAACTTTGTCTTTCGCGGAGAGAAGTCGGCTGTAGAATTGCTGATTCGGGTATTTGCCCATGTCGAGAAACTCATCTGCGATGGTCAGCGAGTGTTGGGGTTCTGATTTGAATGCGGTTTTTTTCTTGTTTTTCACGGGAGACGATGCTGGGGTCGTGATAGTTGGGATAAACGAAGCCGTTGTCGGTAGGGTTATTGCTTCAGGCAAAAATCCACCCCCACCATCTCCTGGTCCTAAAGCCGAGGCGGTCGAGGGGGGAAGCAGCGGGGGCGGGGCGGGGCGGCCAGGTGCTGTGAGTAGTCCACCTGTTTTCTGATCGAGAGCCTCTACTTCCGTGGTAGTAAACAACGGTGGGGGTGCTGCGGAGGGGCGGGGCAGGGTGCTGCTCTTGTTGTCAACAGCGGTTTCTGATGTTTCATTTCCCCTATTCCCACTACTGCTTCCACCGGGCAAAGGTATTCTCTGCGTTTCCTCAAGCAGTAGAATTTCGGGCGAGGAGGTCGTAGCGGTTTTATGGTGTGTTTCTGCAGTTTCTTTCGGTGTTTCGCTCTTCCCACGGTCCTGATTTTTGTCAACATCATCTTCGGGCGAAAACAAGTAGGATCTTTTCCTCAGCACCGGCTCGTCTGTTGTTCCTTGAGAAGGGGAAGATTTTTTTTGCGGGCTTGAACGTGCATTGTCACGGGGTCTAATCTTATCGTCATCCACGGGAGAAATGGATTTCGAATCCGAGTCCGAAAACCTCCCAGACCGCTTGCTCGACGAACTTTCAATGCTCTTCGAATCATCATCGACGTCAACTCTGTCGTCGTTGACATTTACCCCCCGTTGCACAAATGATGAAGATGATGAACCTGCAGAAGAGGATCCTCTTGCTGTGTAATGTTCTCCCTCTTTCTGCAGGATGTTGAACATGTGGGCCCCTGAAGAAAGAACTTCAACTTGTTCTTCTCTTTGTCCCACCATCAAACCAGGTCGTGGCAACTCTTGTTCCGAAGCTGACACCACACTCGCCGAGGAGGACGATTTTGGACTTAAAACCGTCAACTCAGACTCGGCATCTTCATCGATGTTATGATCACCAACAGGAGCTTCTGCCCCACTTATTTTCTCCCCCAGGAACGCCCGTCTTCGCTTTTTGTAGTTTTTCGCACTGCCTGCACCAGAGGATGACGAAGATTGGTCGGTAGCAAAAGTGTTGTCAAGGTCTTTCACATTTTCAACGGTGTTGTCGTCCCTCGTGTACGTGGTATTCTCCTTGCGGCTGCGGGGGTCTGGTGGCTCTTTCTTCTTCGGCGGCGGGAGCTGCTTTTCTTCTTGTTCCGTCGGTGCTACAAGCTGCTTCTTACTGCTTGTTTTCCACCCGCCGGAAACTTTTCTTGGACAGCATGTGCAGCAGCTGTTGAAGCAGCATCTCCAAAACGCAGTCCACCAAGACGAGGCACGCTCTACTTTTTGCAGATTTTGCTGCTTCTGGTCATCACCATCAATAGCCTCCGGGTAGAAAAACTTCATTAACGCCTTGTTCTGTTCCAACCCGGCACCACCCGCTCCATTCTTGCATATCCGGCTCAGCTGTCTCCGCCGGGAAAAGACGTCGTCAAAATCCGTCAATTCCCCCGTTTTTGACACCTGTTTCCAGTCGAAAAAGCACTTTTTCTCCCGCCGACTGAAGAACAGAAATTCCTCGTCCCAATTTTTCAAATTGTTCAAATTATCAAGCTCAGTATCAAAAGCCTCTTTTGTTTCCTCCAACGCACGGGACTGTGGGGTTTCGAGCAAGATGTCCAGGTCTTCGTCGCAATAGCTCGTGTTTAATACACCGCGTCTGCTCGTCGTCGCAAGTTGCTGTGGTCCTGCGGCACCAGCACCAGCACCTTTCGGCGTTTTCATATTCCGCGACGCGGAGGACGATCCGCCGGCACTTGCGAGGGAGATCGGGCTTTTCACAGCGGCGGCGAGAAGTTTTTTGTTGTTTTTCGGCTTCTTCAGCAGCAGGCCAAAACTTTTGTTCGGCGTGGTGATTTGCACCTTCGCTGGGGATGATGATGTTTTACCACTCTTTTGGTCGCCATGAGGACGTCGAGGACCTACGTCAGCAGTAGAAGACTCGCTGTCGCTGCCGGAAGAGGAGGATCCACCTTCGTCTAGCTCACCTGTCCTCCCGTCTCGTCCCTCCTCCACCGCACTACTATTGTTGTAGAACTCCCCCGTGTGGATTTTCGCCTTTGCCTTAAAATTCCGCAAAACGTCCTTCTTGTCTTGGTACCGGTGAAACAGCAGGTACATCCACATGTTCGACCGCTGCACAATCAAATACCGCCAGAAGATCGCCGAGGGTGACCAGTTATGCATTGCAAAAGTATCGCACTCGTAATAATTGCGTTTATGCATTACAAATTTTCTTTTTCATCTTAAGGCAAATCCGCATTACAAATTTATTCTGTAATGCTAACTCAATTTGTCATGCAATTCATACTAGTACGATGCTTTTGCACAGGATACCAGTAGCCGAAGAGAATCATGGTCAAGTTCTTTACATGGGACAATTTCCTCGGAATCTGATTGAAAAAGTGGTACAACTTCTCATCCAACTCGTGCTCAAAAAGTATCGCAATAAAAAACTGTTCCACTGTGAACTTGTGATGCAGAGAACGAAGCACCAGAGTGTTTGTCTTGCTACATCTCTAACACAATGGATTTTCAAGCGTGTTTTCCCTTGGGAAACGCGCATGGCAAATTTTCTGTGTCATGTGTGCCAAACTTGTGACGCAGATCTTGCAAAACCATCACAGTGAAACAGTTTTTTCACGGGATAAAAAGCTTGCGGTTTTTATTTTCCTGCTTCTTTGACGTTCCAGCAGTATCCGGCTTCTTTTCATCTGCCTTATTTGTAGTTGTTGTGTCTTTCTTGTTCTCCTTATTCTTCGGGCTCAGCGACAAAGCCCCCTTGGACGCGGCTGCCTGGGCGTTCAGAGAATTTTCCAGCTCTTCTATTACAATGAAAAATGCCCCCACCCCCGAACTTGGGAGCATTTGTATTGCTCACCTTTCCAAATGAAACAATCGCCCTCTTGCATCTATCAGTATCACAGGTTTTCAATCATGAATTATAGCAAAACTTTGTATTGCAAAAGACCCCAGCAAGAGCGGGCCTTCATACAAGCGATGCGATACACGCTTAGACTCTGCATCAGCGAGATTCACACTCCTTTCATGCATGACAAAAAGTTTTCATTTGGAAACTTTGCATCACAAATTTTGGCAACTTTGGGGATGGGGGCACTTTTCACTGTAATATCTTCTTGCTCGGAAAGGATGATCGGCGGCGGCTTTGGCGAAGCGGATTGCTGTATCAAATGCAAAAATGTCTGGGTCTGGAAGGATCCGAACTTGTGATGCGCATTTTCGAACACAGAAAAATCTCTCATGCATAGGTAGCAAAAGCTGCTCAATTCTGTCACCAAAATGGGGGATTTCTCATGCGGGTTCGGCATTGCGGAGGCTTCTCGAAACCTGTGATGCTAGAGCTTCCATGCCAGACCTTCTGTGTCATGCACAAACAGCATGAATCTTCCAGACCCAGACATTTTTACATTTGATATGCTGCGATAACTCCGAGATCGTCTTTTCCTCCATACCAAAATTATCGTCCTCGTCGTGGTTAATATTTTCGCCAAAATCCTCTCCTTCCTCCACCACATACAAGCCCCCAGTACTTCTATCCGGTTGCTTCGCGAACTGGAAATTCGAATAGTAGCCGAGCTCGAACATTTTCTCCAGTTTTTTCTCGATTTCCTTCCCCGCTTTCTGCCTTCTAAGCTCCTTCAACTCGTTAGAAAACTGTTGTTTCTCAAAATCCTCGTCCTGTTCCAACTTCTCTTTCCACCACGTCTGCCTTTCCAGCGGGGACCAGGACCACGCCCGGCAGTGCTTCCCCGGCTTGCTACTCCAGACATTCGGGTAGAGGTAGAAGTGGGTCAAGTTGCTGTAGAAGTTGTTGCGTTCCTCCTTCGCCTCCTTGGCCCGTTTCCTCCGCGCGAAGAAGTTCAGCACCGGGTCTTGCCCGTACGTTTCATACAGCCAATGGAGAGAGAAAATCGGAAAGAGAATCAGGCTGTAAGTCCCGACTAAAGCGAAATTGGTGAGTACAAACGCGATTTTGACGAAAAAAACAGTGAAAACCGCGGTGGTCAGAGCGAGGATTTTCTTCCAGCTCCTCTTCTCCGATTTTTTCCACAATTTGGCTCGTTTTTGGAACAGGAGCTGCAGGGTCAGTTCCGTTTCGGTTTGGTGCTTGTTGGGTGGAGCTTGCTGCTTGTCGTGTTGGTGTTGCTCTCCACCTTCGGCCACAGATGAGGACGCAGCATCTTCTTCGGTGGTGAAAGTAGATTCGTCATCAGACCCGTACACTTCTTCGTCTATCAACCCATCGTCAAAAATCACATCCTCAAAATCTCCACCTCCATCCTCGCCCGCATAAACGCCTTTTCTTCTTTTCTTTTTCTTCTCTTTCTTGTTGATTCTCGCTAAAATGTTCCTGACCAAGACCGCGAGTTCCTTCTCCAGTAACTTGAACAGCGCCCAGTACCGGAAATCGACGCCAAAACGCTTTAGCCAAATCCTGAAGGTCTGCCAAACCCGTATCCGCAGCCAGTTGAACTGCATTTTCCGAAAGGAGATGTCTCTGTTGATTTGCTTCACGTACACGTAGCACTTCGGGGGTAAATGTCGTTCCAAAAAGCTCGTCTTCCTCTATCAAATACAAAAGTGTCTGGGTCTGGAAGCTTCTGAGACTTCTCACGCATGTTTTGCATGACCCAGGATGTCTGTAATGCACGACCTAGCATCACAGATTTTTAGAGGACTTCCTGATGCCTACTCCGCATGACAAACGCTCTCCCCGCGTAGCGCAAACTTGAGTCCTCTTCCTGGTCATGATGCAATACAGATTTTTTTAGAGTCCAAAGTTAGCATCACAAGTTCCAACCTTCCAGACTCAGACACTTTTCCATTTGATATCCTCTGTAATTTCGCCATGCGCGTGCCCATGTGCACTTTCGACGCGGCTAATCCCCATTTCTTCTTTCCGACAGAAATCTTGTTATTTTCATCCCCATTTTCCGCGTGCTTCCGGATCCCCTCGCCAAACACGACCGGCTTCCGTAGCTCCAACAATTCTTGCTTTCGTCTCTTCGCCTCTGCGTCTTTCCTCTTCTTCCGGAGCTTGTCCTCCCTTCTCTCCGTCAAATACCTGTGCACTCGGGGCGCCAAGCTCCCGAACCAGTAATCTAAGTCGACCACGTACCGCCACCGGTGCTCCCCCTCATCGCCGTCTCTTTCCCGCACCGCTTCCGACCGGAAATCGAACACCATCTTCCGGTCGGCGTTCCGGTAGTCGTCCAGATTTTTGTAAAACTCCTCCATGTTCCCGAATAGCGGGTGGTAGTTCCGCGCTTTTTGCTTTCTATGAGAGTGCACAACTCCCCCTCGTTCTCATTTCTGATGCACGGTCCCAAATCCAATTGCTTCCTTGCGTCACTATTTATGCATGACACATTTCGAATTCGAAAGGAGCCCAAACAGTACTACAGTAGACCTGCATTAATTTCTTGTCATGCACAGGCTCCACGTGTGCTGGTGTTTGTATTGCTGTTCATGCAATACGAATGAGGGAGAGGCGGGGTTGTGCGCTCCCATACTTTCTCTGCTGCTCGTAAAACCCGGCGGATTTCTTGATTCGTATGGGGCTCTCAAACGTTACATTCTCAACTGTTACATGATTTGTCATGCAAAATGACAATGACCCGCCAGACTATCAAGCTGCTTCGCATGACAAATTCCCGGAGGGCTAAATAGCACTGTAATCCGCGCTAAACCTGTGATGCAAGACGCGCAAGGGTCTCCCTCTCACGCTCACCTGTGCTAGTCTTGCATTACAAATTCATGTAACAGTTGAGAGTGTAACGTTTGAGAACGCCATAATGCGGTAATAGAGATTTGGATTCTCGTACAAATCCCACCGGTTTTTTTCATCTTTCTCTTTTTTCTTGTTATCCTTCAGCTCCGCATTCCTGTCCTCAATCTTTTTCACCGGACTACCTGGCAACTGATCCAGTCTCTCCGGCATGTTTTCGCCCAACTTTACCCGGGTTCTCTCCGCTTCTGTTGTCTCCTCCCCGAGCATTCTTGGAATCTTCCTTTTATACTTCCTCCCGTCCCGCCAAAACCAGTCGAGCGCAACCAATAGCCGGCCGGATGTGCCTCGGGTTAAGAAGAAATAGAGGAGGATGGAAGAGAGAAAGAGTAGGTTGTAGCAAATGAAAACCGAAAACTGTTCCTCTCTGTGGCAGAAAAAGCGTTTATTCAAATCCGGATTCAGCGTCACCCTCTGCATCAACTCCGCTATGGGGACTAGAGGCGTTTCGTCGAACGGGTTGAACTCGTTTGCGTATTCCATTTTCTTTCGGTTCGAAGGTTCGTTCTCCGCAAAAATCACTTGGCTGTTGTACTGCTGAATAATGTCACTCACCGATTTCTCGGTCGATTGTCCCTGGCTTGTTCCGGAGAAGTCGATAACTAAAGAGATTTTGTCCACCACCCAATCCGTAAAACTGGCCGATTCCCCGGAAGTTAGTCGAGCGAACAGCAGCCCGAAGAGGAAGAAAAAGCTGTGCTGAAACAACACCGCCAAGCACTGACAAAACGCGAAGAGAAAGAAGTCGTAGAACCGGAGAACGGTGCTGAAGACCAAGCGCTGCACAGGCGGTTTCAGTAAGTGGAGGAACGTGATTTCCACTTGGTGCAGAAAAAACAAATCGCGGCGCAAAACCGTTAACACCACCGTGAAAGACACGGAACCCAAACACAGCGCGAGCAACACGCTCGGGGCTTCGCACTTCGGCAATAAGTAGTTGTAGAGCTGGAGGAAGACGTCGGACAGGAACCGGTCTAGGGTACTCAAAAGCAAGAACAGCCTGTACAAGATATCAAATGCAAAAGTGTTTGGGTCTGGAAGAGTCATGCTCTTTCTGCATGACGCAGAAGGTCTGGCATGCAAGCCCTAGCATCACAGGTTTCCCGAAGCTTCCGCAATGCCGAACCCTCATGACAAATCCCCCATTCTGGTGACAGAAAGTGGACAGCTTTTGCTACCGATGCATGAGAGATTTTTGTGTGTCCTGAAATGCGCATCACAGATTACATCCTTCCAGACCCAGACATTTTTGCATTGGATACAAGAAGCTGTTCAGCAACTCTTGGATCTGCGGGGACAGCCAGGTGAACTCCGGTTTTGGCAAGTCGTTCCAACTCTGGTCAATCAGGTTCGCGGTGGAAACGTTGCTGGAACGGAACACCCTGGAGTAGAGAGCCGCCCGCACCAGGAAAAAGTCCAAAACAAACTTGAAATACGTCGGGAAAATCTGGATCACGAGTAAGCGGACAAGAAACTTCAAAACCTTGCCGGTTCGGTGAAACTGCAAGCGGAACTCCCGCGCGGAGGTAAGTTTTTTCGGAATCGGCTATCAACTGCAAATATGTCTGGGTCTGGAAATTGTGATGCTAAAACAACCGCACCGACAAAACACCGACTGGGAATTTGTGATGCTAAAGTGTGCATGATGAAAACACTCTCTCATGCAGGATGAAAGCATGACAAGTTTGCAGTAATCTTCTCATACGCACTCCGCAGGAGAAACTGCGTTTTTGTATGGCAGGAGAGGCGACAACTTCTTTTGTTAGTGATGCAATACAGATTTTACACTAATGTATGGCCAGCATCACAAGTTGCAACCTTCCAGACCCAGACATATTTGCAATGCATATCGGCAGTCTATCAACCAGTTGCTTCCCCGTTCTCTGGAACCATCTCGCGGTGCGGAGCGTGCGGCCGAATCGGGACAGCGGGTGGATATTGTGCCCGAAAAACTGGAAATATCCCTGATTCTGGTTGGCATTTGTATTCGAATTCGCGGCAGTGGTTGCATTGTTTTTGTTCTCGGCTGTCGATGTTACTTTCTTCTCATTATTCCCCCCACTACCGCCGGTCATCAAAACCCTCGGAAAGGGCGTTTTGTAATTCTTGAACGTCGCAATCTCCGTCCACTCGTCAGAACTGTATCCGTCTTCCAAAATTGTATACGGGTTGGAATTGATCTTGCTGTTTTCCAGACACTTCTTGTTCTGCAGCACGATCTCCGGATCGGCCTGCATGCACTGCTCGACCTGGTGAAAATCTTTCACTGGCAGCATCTGCACGATCGCCTCCTCGACCTTGTCTTTGTGCAGTTTCATCTGTTCTTTCGCGTTTTTTGCGGCCTCGTCTGCCTTTTCATTACCGTTTTGCTGATGTTCCCCACCACCAGCCGCAGCTCCACGCGTTTGTTTATTATTTTCCTCACCGGCAAGAGCACCAGCAGTGCCGCCCTCGGTTGTAGTTGTACTAGAATTCCCAGCAGCCGCACTTGTAGTTCCTCTTAGGGCGGAAAAATCGGCAAATCGCATCATTTTTGCAAGCGCGCTGTTTGGGGGGGTAACAAAAGTTTTTTTGTTGGGGGCGCAACGTCTTGGAAGTCGAAACGCCTCGCATGTCCCTTCATCTTTTCCACAGGACACATGATAGCTGAGCTTTGGAAATGCCGCAACACCAAGACCAGAAGCAGGCGACAGCGCTCTCGTGCTGTGCGTTGTCGCTCAGCTCGCCGGGCGCTGTTTCATGGGCCTGCTCTCCGAAAAGTCGCCGGGCCGCCTCCGTGACCGGGGCTCGACAAGGCCCGTCGCCCGGAAAAGAAGGCCCGGCAAGGGGGGTGGTCAGGGGGGTGCATTTTTGCCCCCTTCGGACACCCCTTCCGGGTACCCCTTCCGGGTACCTTTTCGGTAGCCTATGCCGGCCCCCGAATCCCCATTGGAAACTGCTGATTTGGCATGTCCCAAAATGGTAGCCCAACGGTAGCCCAAGCGGACCCCCTTACCCCCCCCTCTTCGACACCCCCCCGGACGCACTCGACTGGCGGCGCGTCCGCATTTTCAACGTCCGGCCGCAGGGAAGAGATGAGAAGATGTCTGGGCGCGTACGGAATTGGATGTGGAAGAGGGGGCGCGGCTTCCCGCGCCGGAGTGCCGCAGGCCTGTGCAACTTCAGCAAAGTGCTGCGGTTCTATTGGAAAAAGGGGGGGCCGGATGGCGGACCCTGACAACGAAGAGTGGCGCCAGCATCTACATGGCCGACACGAAAAAAAGCAGTAGCGACACCCCCACCAGCTATAATTTTTTTTGCCCCCCCAATATGCGCGCCCTCGGTCGTTGTACTAGAATTCCCAGCAGCCGCACTTATTCCTCCTCCTGCTCCCCCATACAACTTCCGATCTCTCTCCGCCTGTTCTTTCATTTTCTTCTCCAAAAAAATTTCCTCCTTCAAGATTTCGGCCGCGTCGACTGGGTTCTTTTCTTTCAAATCCTCCGGAATGAACTGCTTCTCCTTGAAGTTTTTCAAGTACTCAAATTTCCCGAAGTAAATCAGCTTCGCAAACTATCACAAGAAAAAAGTGTTACAATTTTTCACATTTGTTGTAACTTCAGCAACACAAATTTTCTCTGCATGAGAGGGAAAACTTGCAATGCACAGACCATAAGGAAAAACACGTATGAAATGAAGCTGCGAAGCATTTCTGGCATGACAGAGGTTGTCTGTCATGCTGGGCTTGCATAGACTATGTGTAACTGTAACACTTTTTTCTCGTGATACAAACACCAGATTCCGGTCGAGAAAAACGATTTTCTCCAATCCGAAGAAGAAATCCGAGAGTAAAATCCGGTTTGTCACAATCTCCGTAATGAAAATCTCCATGATCAAGTAGTAGATCACCCTTACCGGCAGGTAAAACACTAAAAAGCTCCCGAAAATCACACAGTTGATATAAACGAAGCAGCAGAACCAGAAGAACTGCTTGACTCGCACGACGAAAACCATGAGCATCATATGGATTGCAAATGTGTCTGGGTCTGGAAGAGCCAAACTTGTAATGCTGCATTTGGATGCTAAAATTGCGTCCTAAACCCTGCATTTGACTGCTAAAAAAATCTGTATTGCATGAGCAGCAAGAGGAGTCAAATTTGGCTACACGGAGAGGGCATTTGTCATGCAGGATGCGCATCCATAGGAAGATGTGCATGACAAACTTCACCTCTTCCAGACCCAGACATTTTAAGTACATTTGATACATCAACCCCGCTTGCAAATCCGTGACCCGCCACTTCAACTTCTGGGCCTGTCTCGAATCCGGATCCCCGCGGATCTTTTCCCGTTTCGCCAGCCTCGTCGGTTCGTCTAGGACCAGCAAATCCCGGATTTCCTCGAGTAGAATGTCGTAGTTCCGGCGTTTTGTCTTCGCAGTTTCGATTCTTTCCTTCTCCGCCTTGATCCGTTTTTCCATGGGAAGTTTCGCCCGCGTCGCCTGCATCTGCAGCTCAAACATCTTTTTGCTGTGCTTCTTCCGCTCCCTCGTTACCGCATTGAATTTCAGCAACGCCCGCCAGAGGAACCCGGGCGCACGGTGATGCAGAGCGCACTGGTAAATTAAGTAGTGGAAGAGTCGTGCGATAAAATCTTCGTTGAAAAAGAGGAATTTTCGGGTTCCGAAGCAAAATTTTTTCCAAACCAAGTACACCCAGGACGGCTCGAAGTGCTCGACTCTTGCTCCCTGCTCTTCGTCATCAGCTGTGCCTGCGCCGAAGATTTTTGGAGAGGAGGGACTTGTCCTCGCTGCGGTTGAGCCGGGCGTGGTGCCAGTACCCGGCCCTTTCGTACTGCTGGCCGCGCCAGGGGTCGTGGTTACCACGTTTGCGAGATTCACATTACCCGTTCCATCTCCTGGCTTAGTCAATCGCAACCCGTGGACCACTTTTTTGAACTTGGACAGAGCAATACTCGCCGTCGGGCCACCAGCACCGGAGGGGGTATTGCCGCTGCCATCAGCATCCTCCGCTAGCATCGAAAACGACCGGCCAAAGCTCGCCATGGACCCCCCGGCCCCAACTCCGCTGATTGTCCCACTCAAATTACTCGCTTTCGACGGGCTGCTCGGTAAAACCGACGCTTGGCTGTTTTTCTCAGCAGCACTCTTATCCCTTCTCCTGCACACCGTGCAACACAAAACCGGCTTCAACACTTTTCCCCAAAGAATTTCCTTCACGACAACGCTCACGACAAACTGCAAGCCAGTATATCAAATGCAAATATGTCTGGGTCTGGGAGGATGGAACTTGTGATGCGTACTGTGGGTCACACAAAAATCTGTGTTGCGAGATCATTTTTTTGACCAACACGAGCGGGACTTTCTCGCGCAGGATAGGCATCAAAGAGACTTCGCAGAGTCTGTCATGCTAGGTCCTGCATTCCAGACCTCGCGGGGCATGGAGAATATGCATGACAAGTCTGCATTCTTCCAGACCCAGAAATTTTTGCATTTGATACAGTATTCACGTACACGAAATCGGTAAATTTGTCCAAATAGCTCACCGTTTTCGTCCTTGCCGTGTCTAATTCCTTCCCCCCCGGCCCTTCCACCCGCCGGGCGACGGCGGGGACCTCCACGGCCGCGGACAGGAACAAAACGATCCCAATGATCCCGCCGATTGTGAAGAGAAAGGGGGTTGTGACGAAAATCACGAAAGATTCGATGTCGGATGGGAAGAGAACCTCTAGCCAGACCATGTAAAAAGGCTTCTCATACACGTCGTAGTCAAACTGCTTCAACACCTCGACTTTATCAAATGCAAAAATGTCTGGGTCTGTGAGATTTCGAGATTTGTCATGCAGTCTTGTCAAGCTCCCCCACGTCTGGAATGCAGGGCCTAGTATCACAGGATCTGCAGCTCCTTGGTGATGCGTATTCTGCATGAGAAATGCCCTCTCAGCATGGCCACAAGTGGGCAACTTTTGCACGTTCGTTCGTTCGTTCTTTGCACGTTCTGCATCACAGATCTTTGTAGGATCCGAAACACGCATCACAAGTTCGGACCCTTCCAGACCCAGACATTTTTGCATTTGATACACTTCATCCTGAAACAACTTGTCGTTGATCATGAACATGTCGCAGCAACACCGCGCGACGAACTGGTAGCTGGAGATGTCCTGCTGATTCACGTTGGTTAGTCTCTGCCGGGATTTGTCTTGCAAATAGTCCTTCACCAATTCATTCTCCACCAACGCGTTCTCCCGGTCCTCCACCGACATCGGACAACAGGTTTTTTGCATAAAACCTAACAACGGGCATATCCTGAGCAAAAATGTACCCACCCCAGAGTTGTCATGCAGATTTGCAGCTACAGGAGGATTTGTAATGCGCATACACATGAGAGGCATTTCCAATCACGTTTTGCGCTTTGCAATGCTGTCGACAGGATGAGTAGATGGATTTGTGTTGCGGCTGTGCTTGCTAAACTGCACTACAATACCTAGAGGAACTTGTCATGCTGGACCCCCAAAACTCCTCGATTTGTGTTGCGAGATCCTCATCTTGACTCTGGTGTGGGGACGTTTTTACACAGGATAGGGCACATCACCTGCGTCGCGCACGCCGTGTTCGGATATAACGCGACAGTTGCGGCGGAGATGGGGAGGAGACATTCCGTGGAGCCTCTTGCTGCTTGCCTTAAATTCAGCGTCTTGGGACTCGCAGTGCCGACGATCGCGCCGCCAACAGTCTCGGGAACGGTGACGAACGGATGGAGGAATTGTAAATTTGTCGCGATTATCAAATGTAAAAATGTCTGGGTGGTCTGGAAACTTGTGATGCTGGGTGGCGTCTCATGATGAGGCTACAAATGCTGGCTCAGCATGACAAGTTTCTGAGCTCCTAGGTGTTGCCTATTCTGCATGACAAACTGCGCTTCTGCATCACAGAAAAACGGAGCTCTTGGGTAACGTGCATGACAGATTTAAGAGTCATGCCAGACAAGCATGACAAACATGAACTCTTCCAGACCCAGACATTTTTACAGTTGATAGCGATTTTGTTCCAATTCAACCGTGCCTGCGTTTCTTGGTTTAACCCAGAAACAAAAAAATTCCGGTTTGCGTTCGAATAGAACAAAGGGTCCAGGGTGACAGAGGGCTCGGCCAGAACAGACTTGTAGATCTGGTCGTAGGTCATACCATTGGATGATGATTGTCCATTAGCACTACTAGTGGTTCCTGTGCTCGCCGCCGCCATGACATTCGCGACTTGTTCGGATTTCGACTCTTCAGAACTACTACCGCTTATTTGCGTCGTTGAAATACTGCTTCTATCCGAAGATGAACCTTTTTCCTTCGCTTCCGTATCCGGCAAAATCGCGAGTTTTTGAAAACATTCCGTATTGCTGTTCACCGTCATGTCCAGGTTGCTGAAGACCGCGGGAATCAGAAACGAGTACAGCTCGCTCGTCTTCAAGTAGTCGTCAAAATCCCGGTTGCGCCACCAGAAGCCGGAATTGGTTGACTCGTCGTATACTTTCCACATCGAATATCCTGAGCAAAAACGTCCCCACCTCAAAGCTGTAATGCAAATCTGCATGCTGAAAATGTTTCTCATGCGGAGACCCATAAGATGCAGCTCCTATTGGTGTTTTTAGATTTGTTATGCTCAAATCCGCATGGTGTGCTAGATCTGCGATGCTGCTGCACTAGCTAATCACCACTACACTGCGAGCGCAAATTTGCCATGCGCAACAGCCAAAGCTTGGGGATTTGTCTAGCAGACTTCCCATCTTGTCCTGATGTGGAGACGTTTTTACTTTTGATATCGAAGTTTCAAACTGAAACCCGTTCCATTTCTGCAGTTCCATCCGCTCCGCCTGCGCACAGCAAAACGGCTCGTCGACGTCGATTGCCTGCCTTATTCTCAAGCACTTCACCTCCACCTGCCCCCCCTGGGTATTCCCGGCCGAGCTTGCAACGGCACTGCTCTCTGCGATCTGGCTACTGCTGACTCCCACTTCGCCCATTTTCGCTTTTTCGTTCGTTGTATCAACTGCAAAAATGTCTGGGTCTGGAAGAGTGCCTGACTTGTCATGTAGGGTTTCCATGAACCATGCGGTCTGGTATGTAGGACATAGCATGACAGATTCTGTGAGAGTTCTATCATGCCTCTCCTGCATGAGAAACTGCCTCTCGATTAGGTCAAAAGTGGCCAGCTTTTGGTAGTCATTTTGTTCGTTGTGGATCGGCTCTGCTGACCGGGTAACCCAACGCCTAGCATACAAGTGACCGACTTAGGCGAACCCCTTGGTAGTCATGCAACACAGATTTTTGCACGATTCAGATTTAGCATGACAAGTTGCTTTGTTCCAGACCCAGACATATTTGCAATCCATACGTTGAGGCAAAAGTCGGGCCGAAATCGATCCCGATCCACTCCTTGTTTGCCAAACACTGGAAAATCAAGCTTCCGTCCGACTCGCCCAAATCCATCAAAAACGATAAAGACTTGAACAGTCCGCAGTTCGCCAGCCACATGGAGCGCGGGTTTTTGTCGAAGGCGTTTTCCGGCCGAAACGAACTCGCGAAGAACTTTTGTAGGCCGCCAGAAGCGATCACTCTCGGGTACTCCGGTTTATGTAAGGGCGGAATCCGTTTTTTGGGTATGCAATGCAAACATGTCTGGGTCTGGAAACTTGTGATGCTGAGTTGCGCATGATTGAAGCGGTTCAAATGGCAGCCAAGCATGACAAGTCTTTGAAACGCCTGCTGTTGATACCTAGCACGCATTACAAATTGCGTTTTTGCATGACAAAGAGAGCTTCTCTTTTGCTCCTCATGCAACACAGATTTTCCAGGAATGCAAGACACGCATTACAGGTTCCACTTTTCCAAACCCACACATATTTGCATTTGATATTCGGTAAGATCCGACTGTTTCGCTGTTCCCGGATGTCGGAATGGACATTATGGGATTCTCAATTGTTACATTCTCATCTGTTACATGAATTTGTGATGCAAGAATTACAACAGGGAGAGGCCGGATCAATCTTGCAACTCTTGCATTACAAATTCGGCACAGATTCCCATGCTGTTTAGCCCTTCTAAAATTTTTCATGCGAAGTAGCTTCACCGTGTGGACGTTGATGCTCATGCTGCATGACAAATCATGTAACAGTTGAGAATGTAACATTTGAGAGCGCCATAGACATTCGCCGCTTCCTGCACTTCCTTCGAACCGCCGATCCCAATGGCCGCGTAGTAATCCTCATCCGTTTCGATCTTGAAGTAGTACTTGAAAAGCTTCTTCGCCGTTTCGTCCGGGTCGAATTTGTTATTTTTATCCGTGTTCGCGTTATCATAATCATCGAAATACATGCCCCCCTCCGTCGCGGCGGACGTTTCATCCGCCCGTTTCATCTCTTGAAAAGCCTGTGTTCGCTTATCCTCCGAGTAGTAAAACTGCCGGTTTTCAAACGCGTTGGTGTATCGTAAGGAAAAATCCCTCCTTTCCATATAAAAAAGGCACTTTGTAATGCTGATTTGTGACCACAAATCTTTTTGTCTTGCAAGAAGGCAATTCTACAGTCTTCGCCGCATTATGCGGACGGTTTGTGATGCTGCTTGGGCTAAAGCATAGACATTTGTGATGCTAAGCGTCCACGTCAGAAGCTCTGCACTCAGGCACGGCATATGCCTGCAATCCTCTACTGCAAGACAGCTCTGATTTGTGTACGGAAATCCAGCATCAGAAACTTCGTTTTGATATTGGGAGGGGGGATTTTTCCCCTCAATATGGTGATTGTTTCCCTCTGTGCTCCCATCGCTTCAATTCGCAATTCCGACACGTCTTGCGCGGTCCCGAAGGGCTGGGTGCATTCCACGTCGGAATAGAATTCCAATTCGGAAATCCCGAACGCCCTCTTCCTCTCTAATTTCTGGTTCCTCTTCCTCACCGTGTTCGCTTTCGAATCGCAGTTCACGTCGTCCCGTGGCTTCTCGCTGATATCCGCCAATAATTTCGCTTGGTTGAGCAATTTCGCATCCAACGGCGTCTTCTCCAGTTCCGTATTCCGTTTCGCAACTGCGTGCCTCTCCTCCTGGAGAAACACCAGCCGCCACATGGAGTTCATGGGCCTTGGCCTGGTGTTCCAGCCGTCGCCGCCTAAATCTTTGTAATACGCGACTTGTTTCCAAAGTTTCTTTTC